TTATTTTTTTTTTGATCCTTCAGCCGATTGCAAGTCTGTGGCAGGACATCGCTTTCGGTAAACATTGCCAAGGCATGAAGTGGTTGGTTGCTAGCCCCCGACAGGTATAAGATATGCTTGAGCCACAGCACCATACAAATCGTTCGCACACAGCATCAGACGTTCAAGTTTTAGATTTGTTCAGGAAGCAGGGTCGCGCGTTTTGAGTCTTTGCACAAATGCCTGAGATACCCAAGGTCAGGCTTTACAGGCTTCACCTGGACCTTCATTTGGGCCTTGCTGGCATCGCATTGACCTTGGAACCTTGCAAGGGGCAATGCTTTTGGGCCAGGTTGCTTCAGGGACAAGGGTTTTCCAGTCTGGCATACTTGTGTGATGCGCTTGGCGAAGTAGCCATGGTAAAAGGAGGAGGAGTAGCAGCAGCAGTAGTTGTGGTGGTGCTGCTGCCGCCGCCGCTGCTGCTATGAGCGCTACTTCGTGCAGGGGAAGCAGCAAAGAGGACATAAGCTGAGCTTGTCCAGGGACTTTCAGTTGAGCAGCAGAGCTCACAACAGAGTCCCTGGCCAAAAACCTTAGTGTTCGTGGGATCTGCTGGTGTCTGACCTAATGGACAACCATCCAGCCAATCACAAGGTCTGCCATCGGGCACTTCCTGATTGAACTTCCTTCGTCGCCTGGCTTAACTTTCCATGTGGTGCCGGTTACGATGGTTGCAAAGCAAGAGCTTTACTCCATTTCCTAGCTCATGGAACCGACTAAGAATGCGAGCTCAGAACTGGACAGGTAAGCTGCAGAGTCCTAAAACGGCTTCGAGCGTTTGGAAATTTGCAGCAACGACCCTAGGGCCAAATTAGCTAGAGCCAACCATCTGAGAGCAAGGGAGGATCAAAGCAGGCGCAAGTTCGGTGACTACTTGGCTCGGGCGATGGCGCAGAGGGCCCACTTCCAAGAGGGTACTGCGCAACCACGGTATCGGCATGCAATGAGCTTACTGCATGCGTCAAAGTACTTGGAGCGCTGATGATGTAGAGTGTATTGAGAGGTGCTGATCAACAGCATTTGTTGCATGGACGTGCGTGGCTGCTATGCCAAATGCGCAGTGGGACGACATGTGGGGCCTGGTAGGCACATGATCACTCACTTGAGAAAATGGATTTGGGGAGATTACAGTGTGCTACAACCTCATTCGGAAGGCGTGCAACAGTTACGCAAAAGAGTTGTTCTTTTCCCCACGTTCCAGACCAATCTGCAGCACGCAACAAGGGGGTTGGCTTCGAGCTCTGTAGCGCAGCTTCCATTCACACAAGAAACCTGTGCCTCTTCCCTGCTACAAGTGCAAACGCGCTTTTATCTAAAGTCCTGGTATTGCCCCCTTTTAGTCCAATGCCAACCTGGCATAATACCTCTTAACAGCCGCCTCTAAGAATCAAGGCACAGAGTTGAAAACCGAATGGTGGGCAAAGGTTCCGGGTGTGGGGAACACGAAAGCAGTAGGTAAGAAGAAGGCCTGGAAATCCAGGAATGAAAGGGTAACGATGATGTTCCGCGCAGCTGGTGACTCTGGAGTATGCTTACGTTGCCGGTTCTTTGCCTCAGGATCACAAATGAGTGCTGTGGCCAAGCTGTAGCATCCTTGTCGCGGGACGCGCGAGAACCCTGCGCAAGCAAAAGATGCCGTCACTCGTTTGGAGGTAACAGATGGCAGTTGTGAAAATGCTTTGGTGCTTATGGCCTGCACGTGCAACCTGTGGGTGCTAGCTGCTAGAAAAGAGCCGAAAGCAGTTGGGCCCAGCACAGCTTCCAGCTTGCCTTGCACCAGCGCCCAAGTCACTTCCCCCGTGTGGAAACGTGCATTTTAAAGGGCTTGCATGGGCCAAGGCAAATAATCCTTCAATACTTTTTAGTACGCCGGTGCATTTTCTTGAAAGCATGATGAAGAGGCCACTGGCTTGGAGCTTCGCATCACCATTCATACTGACACCGTGGATGGTAGCGCTGCATGACCTGCTGCTGCACAGCTCAAGTGTGCCAAAGGGACTAGTAGATGGTGTTCATGGATCTTGCGGCCTTTGCCGCGCACTCGGAGGCGCCATCAGCAGCCAGTTAGCACCGATTCTTGTTGCTGGCACCCTGCACAGAAATCACACCAGCTGAGCCCCGCCTGGAATGAATATCTGCTGATTTTGGTGCGTTGCAGCGCATCAGATCGAGTTGTGGCGCAACCTTGGCTTGAATGCATTTGGCCGCCGCAGCTTTCAGGGTCAAGGGGTATTATGTCTGGTTCAGATGCAGAATCACAGAAAGGCTGGGAGGGCTGCGCATGTTCACAACTCAGCCTAGGTCTAAGCTCTCCATTTGGAACAACTTAGCCAGGAATACAACCGCGGGATACCGCGGGTGTGTTACGGGGTGTCAGGGCTTGGGCGCTTCTACATCGGTGGATTCTTCCCGCCTCGCTGAGCGATGTCGGGCTGGAATTGACAGCTGGGCCAGGCAAGGCCGTGCTTCTCATTACTCATACTTACAGTACTATATTATGGTAGTATAGTATTGTATTATTACAGTATTACAGTGTTATGTTATGGTATGAAAGTACTATAGTATGGTATTATAGTATTATATTATGGTATGATACTAGTACGGAGGGACGAGATGCTTTTGCATGTCAGGCGGAGGCGTAAGGCAGTGAAAGGTGTGCTTGCAGCGGAAAGTAGGAGTGAGACAAGCTGGGCCTAACCTCCACAGGCCTGGGGTCTTTGACAGTCCGTTCTGGGGTGGCTTCTGATGATCCTTTGGTGCCCAGGGTTGCTTGGCTCCTGTAGAACACTCCCTGGAAACTAGCAACAGCTTCCCTAGCATGAACCCAGTCGGTTGGAGAGGGCCATGTGAGAATTTATTCTCAGGAAGCTGATGCTAGAAAATTTCTGGTCAGCCTTCTAACATATCATGCCAACCCAACCCAAACCACGGATTCCAAGCGCGTGGCCGTAAGCCTGCGAGATCATGTGAGGTCAACCCAGCAGCATGGATTTGGCAACGGCCCAGAGAGCTGGCGTCTCAGTAGTTAGGTCCTTCTCATGGCTCAGTGTTTGTGGCGTTGCAGGCAAGGGTTCAAAAGTTGGGTTTCGTTTTGGAACTCCGTAGGTCAAAGATGAACACGTTAAAAAATTCTGGGGCAAACACGAGGGGTAAGCAGAGCTTGTGGTTATCAAGTGCAGCACGCTCATGTTCCTGATGCTTTGCTCACACTGCCTTTCAGAACGTCCTCCCCGCAGCCTGAGGTTTTACAAGAGTTCCTTATCAAGCAGGAAGGCTGGGAACCGATCTTGAAACTCCTCGGGACTCGAGCCAGCTGCATGATCAGCAGTGGCTTCGTAGCGAGGAAGTCCAGCACACATGTGGACTCAGCAGTCAGTATGAATGGAACAGTACCCAAGGCTTGAAGCAGCGGAGCAGGCAGTACTGTTTGTTGCTGTAATTGACCAGGCTCTTCGCTTAGAGCATGGGTACACAAGCTCGACCCGGATCATGAACACAGGGTGAGCGAGATGTACTTCATGCGAGGCTTAGCTGCAAGCGGCAGCTACACAACAGGGGCTGTCAGCGGACTCATCCGGTTCTCGGGGATGTGCCCAGCTTTTCCTTTGAAAGCAAACCCATCCCAGCCAACAGCAACATGAGGAAATAGTCAATCGCTGACATGAGGTCGCACATACACGTGCGATTATCTGTGGGAGCTGAGGATATATGCGAGAGAATATGCCGCTTGGAATTTGAAGGGCTCAGACAGAAGATTGCGGCGAAGTCCCTGTTTTGGGGTTATCTAGGCTGCGCACTTTCCATGACATGGCCGCCAGCGGGGCCCGTTGCTTGAGCTATGTAATCCAAGCCTGTCGCGCAATAGCGTTCATGTAGCAGAAGTACATGAAACTGTTGTCTAGGCCCTGTTTGTGCCAAGGTTTTCCTACGACGCAGGTCAGCTGTACCAGGCCATAGACCTCGATGGTGGAGGGGAACTGACTCTGGAAGAGATTGATCCCAGAGCTGACGAGCTGTATGTACCGAGGCTGAAGTTTGAATTAGGGGTTTCCCAAAATCTACGAGGTTCCTGAAAATAATTACTAATTTCTGGTACCAACAATCCTGACAGCTGAAATTTTAATTTCTACTGGGGTTCCAAATCCCTTAGAGTAATCAGGGTTTAGCGTTTAGCGATTGATATATAGGGATGTTACCCCAATAATGGAGAATCAACTGGAAAAGAACATGGCAAATGAAACGGAAGCCCTAGGTCCTTTTAAAGGGGTACATAGGGATATATGGTGCAGTGCCGGCCAGCCCCCCCCTCCACCCCACCAATGGTATGGTATTGGTACAAAGTCCCACAGTTGCCAGCATTCTGGTAAGTGACTGCCACTTCGCAGCATCAAGACCTGCATGTTTGAGAGGTCAGGCGGATCCTCCTCCTCCTCCGCCGTTTCTTTCGTGAATGTCAAGTAATTCAGATCTTTGCCCCCTGCCCCCCCCCTGTGCTGTGGTGGGGGTGCTTTCTCCCAAAACTGTCAGCATTATCTTTTGCTGAAAGTATTCAGACCACCTCTCTGCCCCTGAAGTGCCTGGCTGTCTTCCTTCAATACCTGTCACCATTCGTGTCAAGTCATTCAGATCTTTACCCTTCCCCCGTGGTCTGGGTGGTGGGGGACATGCACCAGCGCCTTGTGATTGTTGGCGTTTTGGGATCTGCAACATCGAAAACAATGACAACTTGCGCATCGTGATTAGGACACCCACCATCTTTCTGAGCGTTGGCACTTTCGAGTTTTGCGACATCAAAAATGGTGACATTTACGAGGATTGTCATTAGGACACCCGCCATCCTTTGACTTGGCACCTTTGAGATGTTTTGACATATGCGACAGGAAGAATGGTGACAGTTACGAGGATTGTGACCGGGATATCCGCGATCCTTGTGACTGTTGGGACTTTAGAGATCTTTGACCTCAAAAAACATGGCGACAGCTACGAGAATGGCACCTCCAAGGCCTGAAAAACGAGGACATTTGCAAGGATCGCAACCAGCCACCAGCCCTTAGACTGTTCACACGTTTCAGCATCCCGTGCAATTACCCCATTAATTAGTCGAGAGTCAAATGGAAAAGAAGATGAAAAGTGAAATGGAAACCGGGGGCATGTAGGGTGTCTTGGTTTCTTGGAATTAGGGCTTTCCCAAAATTAGGGGTACCTTATTGGGGGTCCCCGTCATAAGGATTATGGTATTTGGGGATCTAGTGGATTCGAAGCCCCCTGAGAATAGGCCAAATCCAAGGAGGTGGCACACTTGGAGGGTCAGGTTGAACTAGTAAGTAGGTTAATCGCCCCTATAACCCATATAGTAACCTTCATTATCCCCTTTATTATCCTAGTTATTAAGTCCCCCTGACCCTCCAAGTAAGCTGTGTGAACGACTTTTTTGAAGCTCTGGGTTGGCTTCTAAGCAAAGTTGCTTTGATACTGTAGACTGTAGACCCATGATTAATAAGCCCCCTCCCCTTAATGGGGATTAT